GGGACCGACTCTGAGGACTTCGAGAGGACGAAGCAGACAACTCTGAGCAATGCTGGGCTGCACTGTCAAGTCTCGAGCACCTTGGTTTTAGAGCTCAGTACTGACCAGGGACGGAAGAGCTCAGCACGGGGTCCTGTGCATGCATAATCCTCGGTCACTGGGTGTCAGGCATCCCCCTGCCTGCTTGACCCCCTGAGGCTGTGTTACTACAACCGAGTCTGGCTCTTTATCTCGAATCAGCCCAAACCTCCCTTCGCCGGAGGCAGCTGCAACAGCAAATGCCCGCAGTCCTGTCTCATACCTTGCCCAAACCATCGAGAATGTGATTCTCCTCCAGCTACCGAGCCTGGCGCTTCAGCGCAAGCTCCGGCGCCTTGTGCATTTACTCCTGCAAAGCCCTGATGCTGGTGGAGCCTTGGACAGAAAATGATTGCAACTACCTGAGCTGGGAGCCCAAAGAGGGCACAGAATTGATGCTGGTGGCCACAGTCCTCAACCCCAGCAGGCTGTGTAGCTTGGACGTGAGTGATCCCCACGCGTCCCGCTAGAATCACTGAATATCTGCACCGAGATGGCCTTGGCTTGCAGGGGAGGATGGCGATGGCATGGGTAGACTGGAAGTCACCCTGGCAGGTGACGGCAGAGTAGAAGGCGCAGCTCCGGAGCTGGAGGCTTGCGTCTGCATTTACCCACAATCCCCATCCGAGGGAACACTCGGGAGAGCAAATCAAGCAGAGCTGAAGCATACAATAGCATCTGATTAGGAGTCGAAGGCCAAGCTTTAAAATAGGGAAACAAGCAAGATGTAATTAATTATCAGGCTCTTTCTCCTCCTGTTTTCACACGGCTGTTGCGCAGAAAACAACCATCAGCAAAGAGAGGACGAGAAAGGGCACCAGGGCGCAGGGGAAAGCAAAAATAAAGGAACAGGAGGATGAGGGAGGCGGGAAAGGGGTCGCTGCCAAGGGGAGGGAAGAGGATGCAAAGGGGAGAAAAGGTGCAGAGGCAAAGATGGGTGGAAAGGAGGCTGGAGGGGGGGAGAAGAAACCCAGATGAGAAAAGGGAAGCAAGGAGGAGGAGGTCAGTCCTTTCTAGCTTTTAGGAAACTGAAATGAAATGGGTGCCATCAGAGGAGGGAAAAATGGCATGATTTTGTTTCCATCCACCCGCACTTAGGCAATTAGGCGGCTCCGTGTGTCCTCCTGACCTGTCCCTCTCTCCTGGAAAAGCCATTGCTGCTCTACGGGAAGGAGAAGAGTAAACACAGGGGAAAAAAAGTTGCTATTTGTAGATGCTGAAGCAACTCTCCCCCACTCAGGGGAATGGCTGAGCGGTTTGCCAGCGTCCACCTGAGCAGCTGAGAAGGAGATGTCAGCAGTCAGGCCTGCGGTAACTCTAGCTGGAAGAGCCGAGTCCCTGGGGGGGGGTGTGCACACATGTTCACATGTGTGTATGCACATATGCATGCATGCGTGCGTGCGTGTGTAGGTATGCGTGCGTGCGTGTGTGCGCGCGCAAGGTGAGGGCTGGAGGGGGAGCAGTGGGACAACTCTAGGTCCCATGCAAGGGAACATCCTTTGTGCTATAGCAGCGGTTAAGGAGATCACGTGGGAAGCACAGCACCGTGCGAACAACTCCACAGCCGCTTCATTGCAGCAGGAGCATTTGCCAGAACGAGAATGGACAGGTAAGGCCAACGGAGCAAGAAGGTGCGCCGGGGGCGCGAGCTGTGAATGAAGATTGGCAGACTCCCCGGTGCAGGAAAAGGGGGGCTTGCGTCTTGTGGGGTGGAGGCAAAACAAGGTGTTGGAGGCTGGAACGAGGGCTTGAAGTGATCAGTCACAGTTCACTTAGATGTGCCCTGAAGACACTGAAGGGAAAGCACAGTCTAAGGCAGGGGTGGAAAGCAAACAGCCCAGAGGTCAGATCCTGGCGACAGAGCTGGCCTGAGGCTCCTAGAGGGGCTCATAATCTGGGGGAAGGGCCCGCCGCTGAAATTGGGGGTATGAGGCCCTGTTGGGTGGTAGGGGGTGAGCAACCACTGCATTAACCCCTGCATTAACTCTCTGATATCACTCGCCCTGCCATTGGGAGATGGGTCCAAATCAGGCCTGCGAGGAGCCCTGCTGTCCAGATCTGGCTGGGGGAGTGGGGCAGACCAGTCTGACACCCCTGGTAGAGGGCAATGAGCACTGACCTGAGGCACGGGTTACTTGGGGCCTATTCTTGACATCTACAACCAACCGCGCCTCAGTTTCCCCTGTCTCATCTCTTTAGACTGCAAGGTCTTTCAAGGCAAAGACTACCACTTTCTCTCTGCAGAGGCAGCAATGGGACCCTAAGTCCAGTCTCGGCCTCGAGGTGTGGCTGGGATACAAATAATAGCGACAAGGTTCACAGGGAAAACTTTCGAGCACACCTAAATGCCGTTGACTTTGACTGAGACTGATGCACCTGCACAGAGTTATACCAAGGGGGTTAGGAGCTGACACCACTTGGATGCTTTTGCAAATGTGACTTGATTCGACTAGCTACCTGCCTGGAGCTACTCCAAAAATCGACAGCAGGTGAGGATCTGGCCCCGGGTTCAGACTCCAGAGGGCCGAGTTCACCGGGCAATTTCCCGGAGGAAGGGCAAGGCGTTTTTGTCCGCACGATGAGGTCCGAATACCAAGCTCCTAAATCGATTCCTAATTCCCAGGGAGATGCTCAGGTTGAACCAGGTCACTGGGTTCTCTTCCAAGCTTTTAAACGGGGCTGCCTCGTCTGCACAGGAGGGCGAAGGCCAGAGCGAAGCTATCACGGCAAGCGTGGCTCCTTCCCTTTCTTACCTCGGAAAATTGTGCCGTTCCCGCTGTCATACATTTTGGTAATCTTCCTCGCCTCATTCTCTCACTCTCCCACAGCAAGAGAGGATGGAGCTCTGACAGCTGCGATGCTGGGACTTTCTCTTGCTTGAAATGCATTAATTTGTAAATATCTTCATTTATATGTAAATTTCCCGTTCTTATCCCCGAAGTCCTCTCGCCAATCTAGCAACAGCACCAGCCGCCTTTGCCTGCAACTTTATTCCTCTTCGCGTACCATTTGGGTCGCTGGCTCCCCCCATCCCCTTTAATTTCATTTGAAAAGCTCTCTCCTCCTCTGCATAATCCCTGCCCCTGTTCTCTGGATGAGAGCAGGTATGAAATACCCATTGTGCCAACGCTGAAAGTCTTGCCATGTCCATCAAAAGCAGCTCTCCTTTCACTGAAAAGCAGCCTTCAGATTTGCAGCTGTCGTGAAGCAGAGGGAAGAAAGGACAGGGAGAAAGAATTCCCCCCACCAAAAGTACTGACATCCCCGTTTCCAATCAGTGTTTGCAAAGATGGGCAGGTAGTCGGGACCGGGTTGGGAGAGACAATGCAGAGCAGGAGACGGGCAGAGGAAGACAGGAGGTGCGCAGACAGGAGAATGGGCTACCTCCTCCCTGTGTGCAAGCACGCTCTTTGTCAGGAGAACGAGCATCATAAAAGACAATGCTCGGCTGCTTTGGCCACGTCTGGCGCTTTGATTGTCTTCCAGTTTTTGCCTCGTCCTCAGGAGGCGATGAAAGTGGAAAGGGAACAGGTGGCTGATCAAAGGCCCAGCACCGCACCACTGAATGCCCTGATTCCAGCTGCAGTTATTAACACGTGTGACGCTGGCGGCAGAGGAAAGAGCCGATGGGCACCATCTTTCAGTGCCCCGCTCCCCGCGTGCAAAGTGCCGACCTGGCGGCATTTCACACCGGCTTTGCACTGCTGTAGCTGATGGTGCAATGGAGACGGACACGGTCTAACGAGATCCCATCCCTGGTCTCAGAGGGCTGAGGTTGCACTGCGATTATGGCCTTTGAAAGGGCTTTGGGGATGAGCAATGAAGTCTGCCGGGGACTGACATCTGCCTGTTTCCTATACGTGTTTTGTACCCTGAATCCCGTCCTTGGAAACATCTCAGCTACTAGGGTGACCCAAGCTGACTTCATAAATCTCTGAATCCCATTATGAAGTTTGGAGTCTCCACTTTTGAAATCAGTTAGGGATCAGTTGAGTATTTCAGACATTAGCCAAGCCTTGTGGGTGACTCCTATTCACTGTGGCCAACTGAGGGTCCTGACCAGAGGTGCATGGGGTAGGTATCACAGCCATATCTGGGGGTGCTGGGTCTCTGCTAGGCTGCCCAAGTTGGAACGAGGGCTCTGAACACACCCAGATACTGGGCAATCTCTATATACTTAACACAGCCAGGGGCTCTGCAGAAATGATCCAGCCATTTCCCTTCTGGATCATGCCTAACCCTTGGCAGACTCCAGATGCCCTAAAACACTGATATTCAGAGTACAGCTTCTGAGTCAGAAGTGACTCTTTCACCTATCATCTGCAGCCTCTGGGTATGTTTTTCCTGCCATCATGAATAAAACACGGCATGCCATACAAATATTAACCAATGTACTGGAGCTTTTTCTCTGCAGCTGGAGCCAGTCAGGACTATGTCGACCTCAGGGAGGAACAATCCCAAGCACAGCCCACCCTCTCACTCCCGCTCACATGCCCCAAATTCAGAAATGTGGCCTTGAAGCTGCTCTAGGGGAGTCCCTCCTCCAGCTGCTCTTGAGACATCTGGGGAGCAGCGCAGCCCTGGGTATGCGGGGATGTGGCCCAGACAGCCAGCAGTCCTGTCCTAGAAGATGCGTGTCAGGAGCAGAATGACGGGCGCCAGCAAAGAGAGGGACGAGAAGTGGAAGCAATGTAGAGCATCGTTCGCCCGTTTGCTTCCAGGTTACAAGTGCTCTGGTTATTCCTGCCAGGTGGGCACACTTCAGATCAAAAGCGAGCACACAAGCTCTCCCCCCTTGTACATCCACGTGCAACATTTTGTCCCAGGAAAATTTAGCTCTGCACTTCTCCAGGCCCACACTAACATATCCAACAACTTCAGAAAGCCCAGCACTCCTCCTTGGTGGAGGCACATGGACTTACCGCACTGTTGACTGGTACACCAGGTCTTCTCTCTTGCGATAATTCTCCATGTGCGAGTAGTTGGTGGAGAACATGGCATCAAAGGTGAAGATCTTCTGTTTGATGGTGCCACCATCTGTCACCTGCCAAGGAAACACACAGTGGCATGAGAATCAGATGGCTGACATTGTCCTGTCCAAATAAATGACCAGCCAGATTACTTAGCCTGGTACTTTTGCTGGGCCAGCATTTGATTACAATCAGGATCTGATCTACCAATTTCATCTCTAAACATCTTCAAAATCTCAGGGATGCTCAGCTCTGGTTTGGCTCCATCTCTAGGTTTGATGCACAAACTTTCAGGCTAAAGCAGGGATGGCTTTTTCACTTGGAAACTGTGTTCCCTCCTGTGACAAAGGGACCCATCTGCCTCAAAACCTCATGCAGAAAAATACGTTTCTCAGTCCACAGATTCAGCCCAACATTATCTGGTGTCCACAACAAAGACAGACCTGGCACCACCTCTGTTGCAATGAATGGACATAATCTCTATGGCTGTGTGAAAGATATACTCGTGTATGGCTTGCTGGGCCAGTTCTCGTGGCTTATGAATGCCTTACTGTCTAATTCATGCTGCTGCATCCCACATCTGTCATAGCTGACATTAAATCCCAGCAACTCCCTAAGTGTCCATCCCCTCCCAAAAGCTCTAGTTCAGCCTGAGATAGTCCTGTGAGAGATCAGACATTGGCTTGAGCTACTGCGATCAGCTCTCACCTTCCTTTGCTACGTGGCCTCTTAAACTGGAGAGACAGGAATCCAGGGTGGTTAGATTCAGGATTTGGATACTACTACCATGTCCACGGAGCATTTTATATACCACAATAAAGGACCACAAATGCTCGACAATCTGAAACATACATTCAAGGCAATAATGACAGATGCTGTCCAGTATAATTAACATCTGTTTCATATACTGATGGAAATGACATGGGGATCGGGCATGGACAGACATGAAGCTATCCTGGGATAGCTCAGATAGTAGGTGGCTATTAGA